CCCGCGCTCCTGCCTGCGCTGCCCGCCCATGGGCGCAGCCCCTTAAAATATGTATATGTATATGTATATGTATATGTATATGTATATGTATATGTATATGTGTATATATATGTATGTGTATGAGTCACCCGGGGGTCTGTCTTTTCGTTCGGAACCAGTCCAAATCATCCCACCAAGCCTCCAAGCCCTCAACCCGATTAGGGTTTAGGGTTCAGGGTTCAGGGTTGAGGGTTTAGGGTTTAGGGTTTAGAGCTTGGGTTTAGGGCTTAGGTTTAGGGCCTAGGGTTGGGGTTTAGGGCTGCCCCAAAACCCCGAAGCCCGCCCCCTCCTAACAGACACCCTCACCTCTTGAGCCCGGCTTAAAAACCCCTCAACACACCTTCGAACTCCCTAAAACGTACACAGCAGCTTCAGGGGGCGGGGGGGGGGGGGGGGGGGGGGTACATACCCTAAACCCTAAATGCTCAAAAACCCCAAGCCCTAACCCTAGACCCTAAACCTTAAACCCCACACCCTAACCCTAAACCCACCTCGGCCCGGCAGTTGCTGATATCGGATGAGCCATTCTCCTTCAAGGCTTCGCAAGGGATGGGGGTCGTGTCCTGAATTCCTAGATTAGGGCTTAAGGGCATTTAGGTTATTTTGGTGGGCGTTTGAAGGCTGAAGGGTTTTTAGTGCCCTTTTGGGCTTTTAGGGCTATAGGGTGTTTAGTGCTTTCTTGGGGTTTTTAGGGCTTTGGGGCTGTGGCGCTTGAGGATATTGTCGGCTTTGGAGGTTTCACAGGGTTTGGAGACCCTGAATCTTGTTCTGGCAGATGGCCCTTTGTCTCAACTCCTTTGCTGGTCTACTCATCTTCTTGGGATGTTCCCCCTTCTACGAACAGTCCTTTCATAGGGATTCTAACAGGGGGCACGATAATTCCCACTAAGGACTGTTCGTGTAAGGGGGAACATCCCAACATCTCGGCCACTGCTGGGGTTATAGGGTTCTTAATGGGGGGGTTCAAAGGGAAGTACAGAACCAAGGCTCCAGAATACTCCCTACTACTCCCTGGAAGGCTCCCTAAGCTTCTTGAAGGTTCCCTAGCTACCTACCCCCCCCCCCCCCCCCCCCCCGCTGAATTCCCCCCTCCCTTAAGAACCCTATAATGTTTCCACAGGGGTTGAATCAGAAACCGAGTCAAGGCTGCAACAACCATGTCCCGGCGGCGATAAGAACCTCAAGCGCTCAACCCTTGATGGTCGCGGCAACAGCCCTGATCCTGCTTTGGCGGAACTTGCCCTCAACCAGTCCCTTAAGACCAACCGGCTACCCTAAACCTTAAACCTTAAACCCTTAATCCCTTAAACCCTCAAACCCTTCCACCCTTAAACTCTTCAGCCCTTAAACCCTCAAACCCTTAAACCCTCAAATCCTAAACCCTAAACCCCATTCTGGCTACGGTCCTGGGGTTTTCCTGTCTCTGAAGAGGAGGAGCTTCCCCTCTGCCTGGCGAGAGGAAACAAAACCCAGAAAAGGAACGTGTGCAGGGTTTTAGGGTTTAGGGTTTAGGGTTTAGGGTTTAGGGTTTAGGGTTTAGGGTTCAGGGTTTAGGGTTTAGGGGTTGATCTTCATGTTGGGTACCCCAGAGGATGATCTCACCGCAGCAAGACCGTCGTCCCATGTGGCTTTAGAACTTGCTGCACAAGAAACCCGGAAGCGCGTTCTTGCGTCCACCTGCTCACGCGTACTTTACACGACCTGAGCCTCTGTCCGGCATGGCAGGCGCTAGGGGCATAAGGGGGGTGTTTCCAGCTGTAGGCTGCCTAATTTGCCTGCACCATGTTTTTCTCTTTGGGAGGGGGGGTCCACTCTTACGCTTCATATTTAACAGCCTCCCCGACACACTAAAGTTCACCGCAGTCTTCTTTTGCAATCCTGACCTCCTCACAAGTTTACGATACTAGGGGTACCTTTCTTGGGGTTCTTATGATAAGGGGATTCTACTGTTTGGAGGTCTAAAACCTGTGTTCTGTCTGCTTGTTTGCAACACAAGATGCTCGTTTAGGTGAAAGCACGAACGTTAAGTTACTGAGCTTTGCCTAGCCTGTTCCCGAGTACAAGAATACAAACTTTTTTACTCGGACAAAACCTCATGAAAGCATCTGTTTTTCCTGTTTGTCTCCAATGTCACATGCAGCTCATGAGATTCCAGGCCTACCCCACGACACTCAACCGCAATCCTGGCTCCTCAACCCTGAAACCCCAAATCAGAATACTAAACCCACAGGGTCTTGGGTTTAGGGTGTCGGGTTTGGGGTTCGGAGCTTAACCTTAAGAACCCAAAAAGCCTGATGCAAATCCTGTTCAGGGGATGCAGGGATTTAGAGCAAGAGCCCTGCCAAGAAATGGCAAGTTTTTAGGCTCTTGAGGTAAGACAATGAACCCTAAACCCTAAACCCTAAACCCTAAACCCTGAACCCTGAACCCTCTACCCCAAACCCCCAAACCCCCTAACCCT